TGTACGTGCAGTGCTGCCATCTTCTGTTTCAGTCCGTTATTACACTCTTAAATCCTACTACTTATTCCTGCGTCTTTTGGGATCTTACAAAGCTTCAAACGACGCGTCGACTATTAAATCAGTCGTCGACGATTAGTCGACTAATCGTGGCAGCCCTATTTTCATCCCTCTGGTAAGTTGAGAAGTCAGCTCATTTCTAGCATGAGAGACAAAATCAGACAATGAAAATCTCAGCAGATCTCGCTCTACTGCTTGTACAGTAACACTGCGAGTGCCAAGAACTGAAGTTTGGCAGCAGTTGGTTTTATCTGGGGTGTGAATCAGGAGGAATGTGCAAAAGTAAGCAGGCAAAAAGAAGAAGAAAGGCAGCCTGGTTCTTTTCAACAAGGTTTCTGAGGAGGCTGCTGGGAGCGGGCACACAGCTGTTTGGAGTAAAGAGTTGTGGTCAGGGTGATGTTGTCTGTGTTTGCAGGTTTTCCGCTGGGTGGATCATGCTGCTGAAGTGCTGCAGGGCCTCAACGAGCAGCGGCAGCACGGCCAGTTCTGCGATGTGGTCCTCGTGGCTGAAGACGAGCGCGTCCCCGCTCACCGAGCCCTGCTGGCGGTCTCCAGCCCGTATTTCAATGCTATGTTTACTTTGGGCATGAAGGAGGAGCACCAGCAGGAGGTATGCAGGCAACGCTGTGAAAAAAGCTGTCAGATGTTTCATTGATGCTTCAGGAAATTAGCTTATTTATGTACGTAAAATAATATATTAAAAACAATGTGGATCATTTGTGGGAGCCTTTGTTTCTATCTTAGTTGTACTGAAGTTGTAAATGGAATAGAGTACACGCATGTGTTCTTCCTATCTGCAGGTGGAGCTGGTCGGGATGTCCTTCATGGGTCTGAAGGCGGTGGTGGACTTCCTGTACAGCGGCGAGCTGCCACTGGACGGAGGAAACATTGACTATGTGCTGGAAGCTGCTCACCTCCTGCAGGTAAGAAACCAGCGAACTGTTAGGTTTAACAATGCAGGCCAAGCAGCAGCTCCTGGGGCTGATGAGGGAAAGGGCCAGAAACTGCACTTCCTCTGATGGCCACTTGGGGCTGACCCTAAAAGTGAGTCAATCTCAGGAGACTCCCATAATAAAAAAATACTTTACAGCCTGGTACAAAAAATGGTTTTCATCTCCACGAGTAGTTTTCTCTTCATGAAAAATATACAGTAGGTGATTTTTTTTTATAGCTCATCAGTTTAGATACTGTTAAGGCTTAAAGTTAGAGGGGTGACCTGTTTGACTGAACTTCTCCTTTTGGAGCATTTAAACTAAATTATCAGGAAAATAATATGTCTAAGAATTTCTGTGTTTGTAGTGCGAGAGCTTTAATCACCTGTTTAACTGTTAAAAATCAATCGGTGGTGATAATTAATGTTACCTATAAAGACCTGTGCATTGTTCAGGTATGGCGAGCGGTGGATTTCTGCTGCCAGTTCCTGGAGACAGAGGTGAGCGAGGACAACTACCTGTACCTGCAGGAGCTGGCGCTGCTCTACAGCCTGGAGCGACTCAGCGCCTTCGTCGACCGCTTCATCCTCAAACATTTCTCCATGCTCTCTTTCACCCCGGACTTCCTGCGCGACATTCCTTTCCACAAACTCAACTCCTACCTCTCCAGTGGCCAGGTGAGACGTTCTCGCCACGGCTCAGCAGACGAGCTGAAATCAAAAGCACGGTTAGCATTCTGAGAGCCCCTTTCTTCACCGCCAGGTTCAGCACGACAGCGAGCAGGCGCTTCTCCAGGCCTCGCTGCAGTGGCTCGGCCAGACGCCCGAGCGGACCTCCCACGCCAGGCAGCTCCTCTCCCACATTCGGTTCCCTCTCATCCCGGTGGCAGACCTCATAAGCAGGGTGCTTCCAGATGTGCGAGCTCTGCTGCCCGAGGAGGCCGGCTGCGAGGCCCTGGTGGAGGAGGCGCTGGCATACCACGCCAGGACCAGCGCTCAACCACTCCTGCAAACTGGACGCACCACAGTGAGGGGGGGAGTGGAGAGACTGCTGCTCATTGGAGGAGAGGTACGGAAGCTTCATCATGTTAAACCTGCTTTAGATCTGACGTCTAAAATATAAAAACGTGTCTCCACTGCTGTCTGAAAAGTGAAACCTGGAAGCTTCACAGCAAGACTTCTCTTGTTTTTTGAGGTTTCCGAGCGTGGGGAGGAGCTTAGCGCTAGCGTTTCCTGTCTGGACGCTGAAACGGGGAGCTGGAAGGTGGAGACTGAGCTGCCGGCCCAGCGGAGCCACCACTGCCTGGCGGTCCTGGGAGGTTTCATCTTCACCGCCGGCGGGAGCTCGTCCAGGGACAACGGTGGAGACGCTGCCTGTAACCTTCTGTACAGATATGACCCCCGCCACAACCAGTGGACCAGGGTAGAGTTTAGAAAAGCCCCCTCCCTCCAGCCGCTTTGATAGTTTGGGGTCGTTTAGCAGCCCAGACTCACGAACGGCGTGTTTTTGCAGGGTGCCCCGATGAACCAGCGGCGAGTGGACTTCTACCTGGGGACTGTGGGAGAGTACCTGATCGCCGTGGGAGGGAGGAATGATACCGGAGCTTTGTCGTCAGTGGAGGTCTACTGCCCTGCTGAGGACTGCTGGTCCTACGTGGCAGGATTGCCCAGGTTACCGCTGACTCCGCCTCTTTGATATCTCTGACAGCTGAGCTGCGTTTACACTCCACACATGTAACTGTTTGTGTTTTGCAGGCTTACTTACGGTCACGCTGGTACAGTCCACCGTGGCGTCGTCTACATCTCGGGCGGTCACAACTATCAGATCGGCCCATACCGCCGGGACGTCCTGAGCTACAATCCGTTGCGGGATGGCGACGTGTGGGTGGAACGCCAACCCATGTCTCTGGCCCGGGGCTGGCACTGCATGGCCTCCCTTGACCACCTAATCTACGCCATCGGAGGCAGCGACGACCACGAGGACACCTCGGAACGCTTCGACATCCTGCAGGTGGAGTCCTACGACCCACGCGGCGACCAGTGGACCAAGATTGCGCCGCTGCTGCTGCCCAACAGCGAGGCGGGGCTCGCCGTGTGGGCGGGTAGGATCTATGTTCTCGGGGGCTTCAGCTGGGAGAGCATGGCGTTCTCCAGAGCCACACAGGTATACGACCGAGACAAGGGGGCGTGGTCCAGAGGGCCCGACCTGCCCAAATGCATAGCAGGGGCTTCGGCATGCGTGTGCACCGTGAAGCCTCCGCCGCTGTCAGCCTCGCCACAGAAGAAGATGGAGCCTGGAAGTTTAGAGCCTTCGTAACAGCAGGGATGGACTTCACATTCCTACATGACTCTCATCCTCACCCACAGGACAAAGTCAGAGCTGTAAGGAGGAAATCTTTCTGGAGCAGATAAATGTTGACAGAAAACTGCGTCATGTGATCGACAGTCTGTCCTGAATTTATATACATTTGTCTTCAGCACTGGACAGTTTGTCTGGCTTTGTGAAGTCATGAATCGAGGGCTTGCAGCAGCTCAGAAACCAGATGGAGGAGCCGTTATTCTGTACTACGACTGACACGGTGACCAGCGGATCCGCGACTCTCCAGTCTGTTTACAGTGCAGGCCACAGAGTCAAGCTCAGCCACAATCCCAGCAGATCAGCTACTCTCAGTGGCAGCCAACACCTCCTCATGGTGCATCCTGTCTCTGAGTATGGATGCCGCTTTGCAACCCTCCTCCTTTTCTTGCTGCATCTGACTTAATCAGTGTTGTATCTGTCGCTGTCTCATAACTGCATAGCTGTTTGGTGCTCTGTAGTTTCACTGAAATGTGGACTTTACATAATGCGAGTGCAGCGTGTGGAACGAGATGTCTGTCGTCTGTTAATGAGCCTGGTTTGTTGACATTTAAGCCGTCGGCTACTAAAACAGATAAAACTGGTTATGCACGGTTAAGGTTCTCTAGAAGTTGTGTATTTGGGAAGAATCACAGATTTGATATTCCTCTAAGGGAACAAATACAGGAAACAGAACGAGCTGCATTTAAAAGAGGTTTTTTTCGTTCTTGCTTTTAGGATTAAACGTGAATGTTTTATAAAAGATGTCATCTCTGCCTTTGAAGCAAAAGCTGCATTCGTTACTACTGCATTTTTCAGAAGTATTCGTTTGTGCATTTGTACATTTTTTCTTTAATTAAAAAAAACATTAAAAAAGCAAAGCGAGCTTATCATTGGCTCTTATCATTCTAAACATTTCATCGTTATTAGTAAACAGGACACTGGTGGATGCTCCAGCGCTGGTCGTTGTGGCGTCTTCGCTCTCAGGTGAAGGGGTAGTACGGGTGAGACTTGATTCTGAGAGACAAAAGAGCAATCGTTGGTTTGATGCTGGAGAATGCAGCTACAGCAGGAAGGTGGTTGACTTACTCTTCGATTGCACAGGCCTTCCACCCTCGGTTCAGTCCCTTCAGAGCACTCATGTCTTCTTCAGTCAGACTGAAGTCAAAGATCTGCAGGGAAACCGACAACGAGGCTCTAAATATACTTACACTATACTCCTGAACTAAAACTATACAATTGCTGAGGCGCTGTCAACTGAAATTGAACTGGGGCCTTTTGTGTAATAACAATTTGTACCACACAATGGTGCAGCGAGTCAACCAGAGGGCCCGCCCCCTAGTGGTCGTTAAAAAGAATGCAGGTTTACTATGTCCACCGAGAAAATCATGGTAAGGGTCTTTGTTTCACCAGAGCTACAATGGTTTCTTACTAGGGCTGCCACAAACGATTATTTTGATAGTCGACTAGTCAGATCATGCATCCATTGGATGTGTACAGCTTATTGCACCAGCAGCATCTGCTCTTATATAACTATCATTAGCTTACAGCTTTAAG